TTCTAGGTTCACAGCTTCAAACACGTTGAATCATGTGAATTGTTCACAAGTTCACATATAAAAAAAAGAGTCTAGAACCTCAATCTGTTGGAGGTATACTCACAAGGAGGGAGGGGAACGAAGAAAATGAATGAAGAAACTGTCATGTTATTTTTGCTAAATTTTCCATTGATTATGTTTGGAAAAGCGTTATTTCTGCTGCCTTGTTTTGAACCAAGAATATTCACTCATTCTCTTATCAGCTAATAAGTCAAAAACCACCTTCATTTTTTACAAGGCTCCTGAGTTAAAATCACCATCACTTTTATTGTCTTGTCTCTGGAGTATCGAACCTATGAGGACGGTTGTACTGTTGTAGAGCAGTTCTTGTGGTCGGCCAATGTCCTCGCGTAAAATGGGTGCACCCCTTGGTCGACGATCGCTGGCAGTATGGCATTAGTCTCGACGCTGTCAAATGCTTTTTCATAGGTGATACTGTCGGCAAACCTCGATCCTCGAAACTCTTTGATGTGATCCACGCACCATTGCGAAGTCCAGCTTGTTCCACAGTTTGGACTTTATCCCATGTCATTGATATGCGAGAGAGAATGTTGTGATGAATGATGTTGAGTACGTCGGTTGTATTTCAGAAGACGAGTCCCAGGGCTCTGTGGGTGTTCAAAGTGCCTTCGACAGTGTCAGGCTACGTCTCTGTGCGTAACTGAGCGCTGGGAGAACGATTGAATCGAACAGGTGGGCTCCAAGCTTTAGGTCCGTCTGGCTCTAAGCTGCTCTTCGCCTCCTGTTTAATTTTGGTAAGTTCTTCTTCAGACCGTTCTCCTTTTCCATATGGCGCTCGAGATATACGCAAGGAGACCTCTTTGCAATTTAAGAGTCTTCAAATTCCAGTTCTGATCCTCGCAGAAAGCTTCTTTATGAACTGAGTCTTCCCCCTGTTGATTCGCAGTCTATCCGCTTCCTGTCTCATTTATTTCTTTCAACATTGTCTCGGCGGTAAACAGTTAGCGGCAGGATATCGCCTTGTTGAACTCCAATTGGTATGCTGAGGGAGCAGGGAGCAGTATGGCATCAATCCTGACGCTGTCAAACACATCCTCATAGCTATGAAGGTCAGAAAGAGAGGTAGGCGGTACTTTTGGCAAACTCGATAACCCTCGAACCCTTTGGAGTCCACCTCAACTGAATCCCTTAAGGAATTCAGCTTGTTCTATAGGCTGGGCGCGATCCAGTGTCATTGATATGCGAGTGAGAATAATTGTAAGGAGCTTGTGAAGCACGCTCAGCTGGCTGGACGGTAGTTCCGAAGATCCTACCTATCGCCTTTCTTATAAAGGAGGATTGGCGGGAGGTTCTCCAGTGGTCGAGGATCCTTTCCCTTCGAAGGTGAGACGTTAGATGATCCGCAAGTATCTCGTGTAGGCGATGTCCTTCAACTCGTAGAAGTTCGGCCAAGGCGTGGTATTGTCTCGAAGTCGTGGATACCTTCATGGTCTGGATTGCCACGCGTACTCCAGCAGGAAGAATCCATGATGGTATTTCTCTAGTGGGGAGAACGCGACTAGACAAGGGTGTTGATGAGCGGAAGAGATCGGTGTAGAATCGAATCGTGATCGAATCTATTTTGTTTTGAACATGTGCGAGTATCCTCTTCGTCTAGTGATGTTGTCAGCGGAATACGGTAGTTGAGAAGGTTCCTGCGGTATTAGACTTCTTCCCTGTGCTGCTTCCAAAATTTTCGATTGCCTGTGCTCTGATCTTCTTGTAAAGCTGTTCTGCAACTGGTGTTGGCATCCAGTTGCTCAAGATGTGATGCAGTTGGATCCAGCCTTAGTGCTCTCCTTCTCTCTAGCAGATCCTTGGTGGCTTTCAAAATTCGTTCCAAGTTCCTTGTGCGAGGCATTGAGGTTCACCACAGGCTCTCATTCTTCTTAAAAGCAGGTCGTAGTCTTTTTTTGTCCTCCTCGATAAGCAAGTCACAAGTGGTCAGGAGCTCTTCCAATCTGACGTCTTCATGTACGACTTCTCTCCCTCCAACATGACGGCAGATCTTCTTTTCCAGTTTTCGGCTGAATCGCACTTTTGCTCGAAGGAGGCGGTGACCTGAGCCACTGTTGAAGGATTACCACTGAGGCGTACAGCAAGCATCACTTTCGGTCGGTGAGAATGTGGTCGCGATGAATCGTACCGATGGGTGACTCCCATGTCCACTGCCGGTGTTCTTTCCTCATGAAGATGGAGTTGCCATGAAAAGTCGTGCTGTGGATAAGAGCTCAACAAGACTACCATTCTCATTCCAGAGTCCTGATCCAAATCTCCCGATCCTGTGCTCCCCTCCCCTTCTTCTGGCATCCCGATTTTCGCATTGAAGTTACCCACGACGAACTTTAGAAGTTTTCTTTGCGGATGACTTCCTCCAATCCTCATATAAACATCAAGTTCCGAATCATCAGCTGCTGATGTTGGAGAATAGCAGTTGATGATAGTGATGGTTTTCTGATAAGAGGACGCAGTCGAAGGATAGCCAGATTAGGTAATAGGATCCCATGCGAATCGACAAGATGGACAACAGCTGGGTGTACGACAAATCCAACGCCTCCAACGCTCCGTGATGGAACCTTTTCACCACGAATGATGGGTGTGCCATTACTCAGCTGCCTCACGTCCGTCTTCCTGGGCTTTGTTTCCTGCAAGGCGATCACGTGGTAGTTGATGCGCCCTGCAGCTTCGAAAAGTTCGTGAAGATTGGCGGTGACTGTTGGTAAAGGTGCAGAGCATGATACAATTTTCACGTCGAGTCGTTGATGTGTCCTTTTGGTCTGAAATCCATGGCATGTGCAACCTGACACTGGTCTTGATGACATCCGTAGATGTGATCCAGTGTGCAGGGCTTCACTTTCTCTTGCATGCTGTATTAGCAGCCTTGCCACGGCCTGCTAAGCTTCCACCACAGGCAATCGCTGATCTTATATGGATCAGAGAACTGCCTAGCGAATGAGCCATACGGTGGTGCTTCTGGAATGGCCTGGCCTAATCTTAGCTGGGCATCCGAGGAGCCGGAAATGTCGAAACACTTCTAGCTTCGGAGAACTTGCTGAGGATAAACCTCCCTGCACTTCGTTGTTCGACACCCAGGGTCACCCCCGCGCCACGAGGCTGCTGGGATTGAAGAGTGGTCTAATTTATGAGTACTTAACTGCCTTTGCTTTGCACCGCCATTGAAAGATCTTCAAAGTTAGCTCAAAAAGAATTGAAGCCGAAGACCCAATCAGCGCGCCGAAGCCATAAATCAGTTGGGGTGCAGCGTTGTTGGGATGCCCCTATGACGACAATACTTGTAGGAATATGAGCACAGCTGCTAACCTAAGCAAGGAGAAGGCGCATGTCTATTGTTTGACTAACGACTAACTAAAGTTTTGATACACTGTCCGTTTTTGCTCTTGAGATATCTCCATGCTTCATAAAGATTACCAACTCATGTTGCACCGTCGCAGTTGAATACGAATTAGGCAAAATACACCTCTAACGTTGCTTGGCCGTGCCATTCTCCCTAGATTTGATTTTTTTTCCTTTGTATTATATTTTCAGAATAGAGCATATTTGAGGGCTACCGCACTCCAGCCAAAATCGTATTCGACCGCAACCCTACAGAGCCGCACCCTCGATCGGCCGTCCTTATTGCGCGTTTGAGCGTTGTATTATATTTTTAGAATAGAGCATATTTGAGGGCTACCGCACTCCAGCCAAAATGTATTCGAACGCAACCGTACGAAGCCGCACCCTCGATCGGCCGTCCTTATTGCGCGTTTGAGCGTTGTAAGGATACTAACCTATATCGGCTCCTTATGAAGTAACATAATGCTTTAGAAAGTTGACACTCTTTTCAATACCTCATTCTAGTTTCGCGGGAATTCAATGAAAAAGTGTTTAGATGAGGTTTTATCACAAAGAAATGAGTCCATTCGCTTAATATGAACTCTCTCGTCAGCCATACACCACGTATTTTCAGGTTGTATGTAATCAGGCTTCATAAGAGTCAAATTTTATATTTAGTGTGATGTGACGGACGACAAAAAGTGAGCTTTGATCAAAAACTGCGATTGAAGCGCTAAGATTACAAAAAAATGAATGTTGTCTCCAAAGAGTCTACAGCCAGTGAGACAAAGTCTACTTAATGGACAAGGCACTCCAAACCGCCACAAACCGGCGGCTTTAAAAGCGGAATCAATCCGACCGAGTTGCTGTGATCTTTGCGCCACTAGCGCCTATAAGCCGCGCCACTGGGTCTGCAGCCACCTGCCAGTGCCTTGGTCCTTGGCATCGACTAAACATGTATTAGCGTCGTTCACGCTCTTGAAACTTTCTATTGAGCATCTGGACCATCAAACAGAAAGCATTACATCACACCTGACTATTTTGGCATTACTTGCCCTTAGTATCTTTCTGCCCTCATCTTCCCGATTTATGCCTTCATCTTGTCAAATTCTTGCAAAGCAGTATAAGAACCAGATCTTCAACTTATTCTTAGTCAGAGTGCAAGCAGACTCTTCAATTTTTTACATTGCACTATATAGCTACTCGTTTTTTTCTAGTGTACTATCCCTGCTCCTTTTTCTTCCTTTTCAGAAAAAAAGCGATATTTGATACTCTTTGTCAAATTGTTCAATCTAGTAGATATCATCTTTTGCTAACAAAACACGGAAAAATTTGCCAGGATGACACTGCATCCGGCGTTGCTCTGTTTACCGAACTTTAGAGGTCAAAAGCAAGTTAAAATCTAATTTAATAAGGGAGTTGTTTTTGAATTAGATTTCTTGGCTTCTCGGAAAGAAAGTTGTTAAGATATTAGGTTGGCCAGAGAATAATTTCGGTTTGAGCAAGAGCGGCACCAATTTTCCGCATTTGCTCGTCTCCCCAAAAGCTTGCAGGTGTTTTCGATGGTGGCATGTGTGCAATTAAATTTACTAGCCAGCTCTTGTGTCGTTAGAGTTGGATCCGTCTCGACTATCTCCCTTAATTCACTGTCATCGCAAAAAGTCTTCTAAGGTCTCGTCTCCATTTCGAAAACGTTTAACCAAATCTGGACCCGCGGTTCGCTTACGATCCCCTCCCCAAAAGCACCGCACAAAATTCGATGCAATTCTGTTGCACTTTTTCTTTGTTTGAAGTCGTACAAATGCAAAAGCGAATTTTTTGGTCACGCATCTTCTAAAGCTTATAAAATTCCTAAAATGGGTATGCATTGAGATGAGGCTATAACTTGCTACTCACCGTGAAGTGCTCTTTCAAATAATGCTATACTTGCTCACAAAACTCCAATACAGAACTTGTGAGAAACGTGCAAACTCAACTGAAATTATTTTCTGGCCAACCTAATATTTCGAAGGAATGGCAATCGGTTGAGAAAGTGCAGCTAATGTGGAGGAGAGGCAGACTGCTCAACCCATCCAAGTTTTATACGTACGATGTGAGTTGCTTTTGCAGTCATGCAATTTCTATTCAAAAGGTCTAGTTGGCTTTCAACCTTGCCTTAACCGTTATACTTGTTGAAATCTCAAAAAACTAGTGCCACTT